TTGTTCAATGGAATATTTGGTGGTGATTTTTTGATATATGTGTATGATAAAAAGGGCACAAGCATTGACGAGAATATTGTGTCCGGCCTTTTAGAGTATAACCATTGTAGCTGGGAGACCGAATACATGAAGCAACTAACAGACGTTTCTGATGAAGTAACAGAATCAAATGCTCCTATGCAGAATTGTGGTCTGAAACAGCCGGACTTCACTGATGCAAAAACTGCCCCTACACCAAGTCATGCCAAATCAAATTCTTCTGAAGAGAAAGATGAAGCTGGGCAAACAAACAGCTTTAACAAAGGCAGGGCAACACAGTCTTGTACTCAGCTGTCTTCTGCTCTATCCACAGCTTCAACAAGAGCTGAACTAGCTGCTTTGGACATGTTAATACCTCCAGTATCCTCTATCTCTAGCTTACGTACCTCTTTGCATGCTCAGATAGCATACGGTTATCTGTTCTTTATATATCCCTTTTCTCTGGTGCGATGTCCATGTGAAGCAGTTGCCACAGCAGCAGAGAAACTTCTGAGTGACGAGAAAAGAAAAGGAAACCATCCTTCTGGCGTTGCAATTAAAGGATTTGGCCAGTTCACAGAAGAAGGCTTAAGGACTCTTCAAAAATTTGTGAAATTTCTGAAATGAAACGTAAGATAGCTGCAGAAGCTAAATGGCTTTCTGGACTCAATTGTACATTGAGAGAACTCACAGTTCTTCAATCAGACCTCTGGAATTGACCAACAACAAGCTCAGTTCTGAGATTTGATCCCAAATCTATTAATGTCATTTCTTTTTGTGATCTTGCTGAAGAAAGGTACATTGACAGCTTTATCGTTGACGTGTTTTTCAGTGGATGCAGGTTAATGACAAAGCTTTCACGCTGGCGCAGTTAAAAGCAAGAGCTTCATGCATAGTTACGTTTAACAACTTGCAGCAAATAGTTGTACCAGTCTTTATGGTGAACCACTGGGTACATGTCTATGGCAACCTTGCTAGTCAGCTTTTATATTTTGATGATGGGCTGACTTCTCAGGTGTCATCAACTGCCCTTCCATGTGTCAAAGAAGCACCAAGTCTCCTTGAATTATATCCTCATCACCCATCTCTCAAAGCAGAATTTTGGCACTCTACTCAAAATTTCAAGCGGTTTGGAATGCCAGGGGTAGCAGATACCCGAGGGTTACACTTAATTTCCCTTTGCTTTAACCCAGCCTGTACTCTCAGGGGTACTGAAAAATGTTTCCTCTCTGGCGAAACTGTCACCTTGATGTGGTGGAGAGAACTAAGTGTCTCTGTGACCTATGCTGATAATGAGTAATTTCCCAGAAGAAACACCATAACCAGGAAGGTCAAAGGAGAGAGACCAGACAAAGAGCAGTCTCTTTTTTGGTACAAGATTACTGACTGTAGCAGATAACTTGCCATCACATTAACCAAGCCTGTGTTCCCTTTGGTAGCAGACACATGTACCTGAGGGTTACCATTAATTTTGTTATCACATTAACCAAGCCTGTGCTCCTTGGATAGATGATACCTGAGAATTTCAGTTAATTTGTCATTGAATTAATTTATAAATCCCATGCTCTCATAGACAACCTGTGAAATCTTTGCAAGCTTTGCAGCCAAATGTCAAGTTGGATTTGGGTAAGTTGCTTTGTAGAAACTAGTGCATTCATGTCCTCGCCAATCTTAAGGTCTGCAGCAGCTGTTGAGCTGTTTCCTTTACAATTTGAGTATGGCAAAGATAAGCAGCATGGGTAAACATAATGCAAGTTAATTAATTGAGCAAGGGAACAACATAAAACTTAATTGACCACTTCCCATGAGGATCTTTTCAGGGACAGTGAAAGAAATATAATCTTAATGTACTGGTACATGTAGGCAGTTGTTTAAGTTCAAATAAGCGACTGTGCACCACCGATAACCGCCTTCAAGTGAAACCACTGGAACACTTGGTGGCATGTATTCAACTGCAGCCGCTTGTCACATGTGAACATATAGTAGGCAATTTTTGAAATCCTTTCTCGAGCCTTTTTATTTGTTTTCTTTTTTTTTTTTAAATATTTCACTATTTCAAAATAATTTGGCCTTACAGAATAAAAGTCACTCTGAGCATAACAATTATGCCACCAGAAATGTGTTTTAACATTAAATTGTATGAAATTTGTGG